CTCCCCGACGCTCTGCCTGAGCTAGGGGCGTTTTCCCTGAAGCGTTGGGTCTAAAATCACCAGCCACTGCGTCCGCCCCAGGGTGCGGCGTGTGCTGGTGGTGGTAGGGGCCAGCTGCAGCACCGTGTGCCTCCGTAGTGGGTTTGCTCACTGCAGCTGGGCAGAGATTGCTGAGCTTCCAACTTATTCCTCCTGGTTTCCATTACCTCTCCTGCCCATGGTCATTCTACTTCTTATTTCAAGTGCTGAGTTCCAGTTTTGTCAGGTTGCAGTTCCAAAAAGCATCCAAGTGTCACTTCTGGTAGTGCTGTTTTCTAGTTTTTGGTTTGTGTGCCCTTTGCTCTCCAGAAGTGAAGAGTTTCAGCTCGTGCTGATTTCCCAAATACTTGCTCTTAAAAAGTCTCGGGGAGCAGTTCTCAGATGAGTCCATCTTGGATCTGCTTTCCCCCAGCAGAAGGGGAGAGCAGAGCAGTTGAACTCACGTGGCAAACAGATGAGAGAGGATTGTAACTGTTCCCACTTCTCAGGCTTCTTGTTTTCTTGATGTCACCGTTGCTCTACATGCTAAACTCCAGAAGGAGATACTTCATAGGACTTGATGCAAATCCTCAACTGCTCGTGCTTTTATTGTTAGTACTTCAAAGTGTTGTGGACAGCGCAGACGACCTCTGCAAAAAAAAAAAAAACCAAACCCCAAAAAGCCCCCCAGAGCCCCAGGAGTTCAATTCCTGTTCAACTTCCAAGCCTTTTTTATTTTTCCAAAGGCTACGGTACAATCAGTAAAATGTTTAAAATCTCTCTTAGCAAGATTCTTCTGTCCAAGGAATAATCCGTTTCTTCTTCCACTGAAAGTAGTAGGTTAAATATACCTGACTGCTGGCTCCAATATCTTGCCTGGTGCTTTTGGGATAAGTGACTGGACTAATACTTACTCTTAGCTTGGCCCCTCGCAGCATGTGTGATTTTGCACCGTTACCTCTTTCCAAACCTCAGTCTTCTACTTGCGAGATGCTGAACTTGAGAGAGTGAGTGTTTTCCGCTCTCAGCTACCAAAGCAGCAATGGCCAGCATTGCAGATTGCTGTTCCACGCCAATTTAGTAGGCAGAGACCAAAATGACCCTTCTGTCACGGGAAGCTCTTGAGCACATTAACTCCAGCTGCTGTTCCATTCTCTGCTCTGTGGAGAATTATTGTAACGCTGAACTTCAGAGAGTTTTCTTTCTTTGCAGAAAAAGTTAGAAAACCTGAAGAGTCTAGATCTTTTCAATTGCGAGGTAACCAACTTGAACGATTATAGAGAAAACGTATTCAAGCTCCTCCCGCAACTCACATACCTCGATGGCTACGATCGGGATGACAAAGAAGCACCGGACTCTGATGCGGAGGGCTACGTGGAGGGCTTAGACGACGAGGAGGAGGATGAAGATGGTATGTGAATTGTGCTACTTCGTGTACGTAAGTTAAAAGATCGATATGCTGCCTAGTACATTTTGCTTCCAGCTCTGACTTGTTGGCAGGAGAAGGGTGTTCTCAGCAGCTCCTTCCTGACTGATGTAAAGGAGAAGTACCTCAGTGTCCTCTGAAGGAACGAGGGGAAAGGAGATGGGCAGGGCCTGAAAGAGCTACTTTCTCAGTCTTATCTCTAGTGAAAGATCGGGATGACAAAGAAGCACCGGACTCTGATGCGGAGGGCTACGTGGAGGGCTTAGACGACGAGGAGGAGGATGAAGATGGTATGTGAATTTGTGCTGCTTGGTGTACGTAAGTTGTGAGATTGATATGCTGCGTGGTACGTTTTGCTTCCAGCTCTGCCTTGTTGGCAGGAGAAGGGTGTTCTCAGCAGCTCCTTCCTGACTGATGTAAAGGAGAAGTATCTCAGTGTCCTCTGGAGGAACGAGGGGTGAGGAGGTGGGCAGGGCCTGAGAGAGCTACTTTCTCAGTCTTATCTCAAGCTAGGGGTGGGGAGTGAAAGGGTGGTAGAAGAAAAAGGGGCCAGGAGGAGTAAGACAAGCAGTAAGACACTGAAAGAGTTCAGGGAACAGTAAACCCCAGGGGATGAGGACATAAGGGAGAAACGGGTAAAAAAGGATGGCTCGCACACGCTGCAGTTTTCCAGGAACAGCGTAATCAGGGAAGTAAGAGCAGTCGTGTAGACCCTGATGGAGAAGGGTAGGGTAGAGAACCAGACTAGAAAAAAGTAGCTGAGTCAAGGGATTAAGTAAAGGAGTCGGGGCGTTAATAGAAGGTTGTAGCTGCTCTGTGAGGACAAAGTGAACTAGTTGGGATCAGGCAGAAGAGAGGAGAGCGTGCGTATTGAAGTCTGCCCTGGGGCAAGCTCTGTGAAAGGCACTAACGAAGCAGCAAGCAACTTCTTAATGTTAGGAAAATGCACGGTGGGTCCCACTGTGCTGTAGGTGCCGATCTGCCTCCCCAGGAGGCTGCGCTCGGAGGCATCAGTGTACCGGTCGGATGAGTATCCGGCTGAGTTGGGGGAATTTGCTAGACTCTTCAAACCCAGCTGCACAGCAAAAGCAGAATAGCTGGACTTGCACTTTTCCCTCGAGTGCTGAACGTGAGCTCTGGGGAGAGGGGCGAGCGCTGCAGCAGTGCCTGCCAGAGTGCTGCGTTCAGCCAGGTTCGGCAGGGACAGATTCTCCTCATCAGAGCACAAGTCTGGGCCTGCGTTCAAATGCATGAAAAAGTTCCAAAACACCATTCCTGCAGCACGGAAAACACTTTGTGGTGCGTTGCTTGGGCTAGTTGCGTTTAATCTCTTTCCTCTTGAAAAGAGATTGCAAACCTACGAGGCGGGCTGCGTGTGACCCTTGTGTATTGCTCTGGCAGTATGAGGGCAAGGGCTGTCCCTCGGGGAGGGTTTCCAGTGCATGCTGGCTTGTAAAGTTCTGCTCCATCCCTGGTGGGAGCAGATGGACGCTTGCAGATGGAGAGCTGCGAGTGTCCCATGGGCTCGAAAACGCGTATTGGTAGTGGGAACTGGAGCAGCTGAAGCTAAAGCAGTCCCGAGGCTGCCGTGACTTACGCAGTATGAGGGCAAGGGCTGTCCCTCGGGGAGGGTTTCCAGTGCATGCTGGCTTGTAAAGTTCTGCTCCATCCCTGGTGGGAGCAGATGGACGCTTGCAGATGGAGAGCTGCGAGTGTCCCATGGGCTCGAAAACGCGTATTGGTAGTGGGAACTGGAGCAGCTGAAGCTAAAGCAGTCCCGAGGCTGCCGTGACTTACTGTCGAGGCCTCTGCAGCCCTGGAGCGGCTCAGACCGTGGGTGCAGCTGCCACGCTACCCTGTCGCTAGGCTAAAGAGGCACAGGACTACCTCCAGCCCTGTCTGGCAGCTGGAGAGCTGCCTTTAATTCTGTGCTGCCCTTAAGCAATGCTTCCAGTTTGCTCCTTGTGTCGATAGGAGGTCGCATCTCAGGTGGCAGTGTTGGAAAAAAAGTAAACTTTAAACGTCTGAGTGGTTAATCTTGTTTGACTGTATAGAAGAGGAGTATGATGATGATGCTCAGGTAGTAGAAGACGAAGAAGACGAGGAGGAGGAGGAGGAAGGAGAAGAGGAGGATGTGAGCGGAGAAGAGGAGGTAAGGATTTATGCAGTTAATGGGTGTGGAGTGAACATTAACTGGGAATAGTTGGGCAAGAAATGCAGCAAATACTCGAGGCTTTGAGTACTCGAAGCGTGTGCTTTTTTACTTGAGAAGCATCACGGCGGGGGGTGGCTTTGAGGCAGGCCTGTCTATGAGCCAGCTGCCATCTAGTGACCATTGACATGAAATCATTCTGTTTATTGGGCTGATGTCAAAAAACACGATCGGGAACGTCTGCAGGCCTGGTTTGTGGTGCCTTTGAAGGGCTGGGGTTACAGCCTCCGTCCGCACGAGAGAGTGGGACGCGAGTTACTGACCCCGTGCTCTCGGGCTGATGTCAAAAAACACGATCGGGAACGTCTGCAGGCCTGGTTTGTGGTGCCTTTGAAGGGCTGGGGTTACAGCCTCCGCACGAGAGAGTGGGACGCGAGTTACTGACCCCATGCTCTCGGAGCGAGGTTCCTCCTTGGGCACGCGCCTTGTTGATTCTCCAGCACGCTTACGTTCGTAGCGTAGGCCAGCTGCTGTGTGGAGGGTGTGCCGAGCCAGTCACAGTCTGCTGAGACTCTGCTGTTAGCACAACCACTGGGAGTGGGGCTAAAATTTGACTGCAGGAGGTCGTGTCATCTGCCCTCCGGCCAAACAGTCTTAGATGCTTAACTGCCACTCCTGAATGGTTGGTCCTCCTCTTCTCAAAACCAACAGCAGCTCCTCAGGCTCTGGAGAAGATGTCTGTTGTGTTTTAACTCTCTCTGCCCCTAGAACACGCGCCTTCTGCTGCTGACCAGTCATCACGTTTTACTAAACTCAGGACATCACAACAAAACTTGCCCCTACGTATCAGCGTGAAGTCTAAAACCATTTTCTCGCTGAAGACTTGAAGCTAGAAGTGGCTGCTATGATTGCTTGTGATTTTCTGCAGTGAAACTTGGGCCAGAGTCCAGTTATACTGTAGCAGAAAACTGCACTTACATAAGCGCGTGGGAAGTGTCTGCCTTTTTGTTTGGTTTTTGTTTAAGATGCTTCAAGGACTTTCTCTCTATTGTAAAATGCTGCTGGATATTGCCAAACTGCGAAAGGTCCTGCACTGAAACCGACCTTTCTAATCCTTCCTTTTTATTTTTCTTTTTTTTCTTAATCCAGGAGGATGAAGAAGGCTACAATGATGGTGAGGTAGATGATGATGAAGATGAAGAAGAGCCCGGTATGGCAGTAATCCAGTTTTTACTAGAGATAACAGTATTTTTTTTAAAAAGTAAAATACCATTTTCTAAAAAGCAGGCTCATGTTTGTGTTCCTGCTTCTTCAATAAGCAAGCCAGTTGCCAAAGTCGAAGCTTGTTGAATTTGTTCAACTTCTCAGCAGCATGAGGGAGCACTCATATAATTCAAGTTGTGTTTTATTTTCTAGATGAAGAACGGGGACAGAAGAGAAAACGAGAACCTGAAGACGAAGGGGATGAAGACGACTAAACTGAATAACCTATTTTGAAAATTTCCTATTGTGATTTGACTGTTTTTACCCTGTATTTCCTCTCCCCACACCCCCAACCTCTTTTTTTTCTTTTTTTTTTCTTTTTTTTTTTTTTTTTTTTTTTTTTTTTTTCCTCCTGATTGTAACGTTGCTGTGGGAACGAGAGGGAGAAGCAGACTGGGTGGGCAAGGGAATAAAATACTATTTTTACTGCCACTCCTCCTCCTATTCATTTTAAATTTTTTGGTTTTGTCCCTCTCTTAGTCCCTGTAACTGCAATAGTAAGTATAAACCAAGTGGTAATTTGTTTCTTATTATTGGAGTGGATAGTTTGACATCTTTAAAAAAAAAAAAAAAAAGACAAAAAAGTTTAAGATCAGTGGACGATACCCCAAATACACATACTCTGTTCTGAGACAGCTGAATAGCGTCGGTTGTTGGGATTTTTCCACCGCT